GATCTCAATATCTCTCCCTCCACTGGATCCTCTTGCTTTTAATCCAGGTGACCTCTATCTCTTCCCTTCCTCAGTAGATCCGTGAGGTGCATGTGGTAGATGACTGAGCAGTGGGACCGATGACTGGGTCCTCTGTAGTCTCTGTGATCCGGGTGAGAGACCACTGAATGTAGTCCTGGCCTCTCCTCTCTGATTCCCGGCGTCTTATTTTAGAACGATGATTTGTCACGCCGGGCACGCTCCTCTCGCATCTCCTCGCCTCGGCTCAGACGTGCAATTAGAAGCGCTTGTCAGAAAATCTTCTAATTTTTACTTTTGTCGGCAAAAAGAGAAAAAGAAGCAAATCTTCCGCTATTGCCGCAGGCGCGCGATGCTGGACAAATTAGTCAGATATTTTATTCATGAAGAGTTCCTTTTTTTGGAGGACGGGTAATTGATTTAAATGTTTGCTGTAATTACTTTTGCTGAGCGGGAGCTGCGCTCGCCACCATTGCTCCTTGTGTGTTTTGGGTGGAAGGTGATCGTTCAGGATCTGGTGATGCCATTTACCGGTCCCTTCGATAAACAACCGGTTCCCTCCATAGGAACTCTGACAGCTGTGCCCAGAGAAAGGCAGGCGGTGGGCAAAGGAGCAGTCACCGGTGTTGTCTGTGGTCGTCCTGCAGATCTTTCTCTGTTATTGACCTACCATGTTCTGCACCACGTGTGGGGGCGGCCATCTTGGTAGAGGCAGGGCATTGCTTCCTCAGGTCAGAACCTCCAGCAAAGAGAACAGTGAACAACACTGTAGAAACATCACCAAATCCCACTCCCAGCAGTCAGAGGCAGTAGTGCTTTAGATCTCAAACTTTAGATATACAGTTATGGGGTATAGAACAGGAGTGCCGAGGCCCCATCACATCCCTGAGCTGAGTTCCCGGGTCTGTACACCTGCTGTGCCCATTGTGAGGAGCTCCCACCATCCCTGTGCTGAGTTCCCGAGTCTGTACACCTGCTGTGCCCATTATGAGGAGCTCCCACCATCCCTGTGCTGAGTTCCCGAGTCTGTACACCTGCTGTGCCCATTATGAGGAGCTCCCACCATCCCTGTGCTGAGTTCCCGAGTCTGTACACCTGCTGTGCCCATTATGAGGAGCTCCCACCATCCCTGTGCTGAGTTCCCGAGTCTGTACACCTGCTGTGCCCATTATGAGGAGCTCCCACCATCCCTGTGCTGAGTTCCCGAGTCTGTACACCTGCTGTGCCCATTATGAGGAGCTCCCACCATCCCTGTGCTGAGTTCCCGAGTCTGTACACCTGCTGTGCCCATTATGAGGAGCTCCCACCATCCCTGTGCTGAGTTCCCGAGTCTGTACACCTGCTGTGCCCATTATGAGGAGCTCCCACCATCCCTGTGCTGAGTTCCCGAGTCTGTACACCTGCTGTGCCCATTATGAGGAGCTCCCACCATCCCTGTGCTGAGTTCCCGAGTCTGTACACCTGCTGTGCCCATTATGAGGAGCTCCCACCATCCCTGTGCTGAGTTCCCGAGTCTGTACACCTGCTGTGCCCATTATGAGGAGCTCCCACCATCCCTGTGCTGAGTTCCCGAGTCTGTACACCTGCTGTGCCCATTATGAGGAGCTCCCACCATCCCTGTGCTGAGTTCCCGAGTCTGTACACCTGCTGTGCCCATTATGAGGAGCTCCCACCATCCCTGTGCTGAGTTCCCGAGTCTGTACACCTGCTGTGCCCATTATGAGGAGCTCCCACCATCCCTGTGCTGAGTTCCCGAGTCTGTACACCTGCTGTGCCCATTATGAGGAGCTCCCACCATCCCTGTGCTGAGTTCCCGAGTCTGTACACCTGCTGTGCCCATTATGAGGAGCTCCCACCATCCCTGTGCTGAGTTCCCGAGTCTGTACACCTGCTGTGCCCATTATGAGGAGCTCCCACCATCCCTGTGCTGAGTTCCCGAGTCTGTACACCTGCTGTGCCCATTATGAGGAGCTCCCACCATCCCTGTGCTGAGTTCCCGAGTCTGTACACCTGCTGTGCCCATTATGAGGAGCTCCCACCATCCCTGTGCTGAGTTCCCGAGTCTGTACACCTGCTGTGCCCATTATGAGGAGCTCCCACCATCCCTGTGCTGAGTTCCCGAGTCTGTACACCTGCTGTGCCCATTATGAGGAGCTCCCACCATCCCTGTGCTGAGTTCCCGGGTCTGTACACCCGCTGTGCCCATTATGAGGAGCTCCTACCATCCCTACACGTATGTAAGGTTGCTGTACAATATCGGAGTGTTTGTAGCACCGTCAGGCCGGCGTTCTTCCTGTAGATGGCTGTGCGAGGTGCCGGCTCTGGTTTCCGCACACGGTGTACACGGAGGGCAATGCTCTCATCTTACCGGTTGAGTTGCAGTCACTTAGCTCTGACCTTTTCCCGGTGGGTTGTGTGGGAGGATGGGCTGACCGGTCGCTATAATCATTATATAGAAAGTCCGGGTGTGTGGGGGGAGGGGGATGTACGCGGCTTCTTCAAACTCTACTT